ACCTGAAGAAGAGTATTTACTTACATCCCTAACTGAATGTATTCCACTATTTTAGTTGTAAAAGATGCTTATGATTTGATCGTTATATAAAGTCTTTTTAAAATTTATTTAAATAAAGCTGATTTGAAAAAGAGAAGCCTAATTTTCTTCTGCATGAATTACTTGTCCCCCCTGCATCTGGTATTGATAAGAAACATTATCTCATTCCCTCCAATATTCTATTCTCCAATTGAATTTCTAGCACTATACCAATATTCTTCTTGAATGAGCACCTTTCTTGGCATATTTTAAGTCTTCTACATGCTATGTAATTTTTTACAGTAAAGGCATTTCTTATTTTTTAGGCAGTTCTAACAATGAGATTGGAAGAAAGTCACCTTCCAAAACTATCAATCACTAAAGAGACAGATCAACAGACTGTAATCCAAACCAATTAGTTCTCACTTTTCTCACCACCACTCAAAATAGTCTCACAGAGTGAGTGATGTTGGAATGTCTTCTCTGGGCAACCTGTTATAGTGTTTGGCCAACCTCAGCTTCAAAAAAAAAAAAAAAAGTTTTCTTTTGTTCAGATGGAATTTCATAATTTCATGTGTTTCAATTTGTGCCCGTTGCCTCTGGTCCCGTCAGTGGAAACTACTGAAGAGAGTCTATCATCTCCCCCTCTTCTTCATTCCCTCGTCCTCACAGGAGATGCTCCAGTCCCTTAATCATCTTTGTGGCCCTTCACTGGACTGTCTCCAGTAGTTCCATCTCTTTCTTGTACTGGGGAGCCCAGAACTGGACACAGTACTTCATGTGTGGCCTCACCAGTGCTGAGTAGAGGGGAAGGATCACCTCCCTTGACCTGCTGGCAACACTTCTCCTGATGCAGCCCAGGATATCATTAGCCCTCTTTGCAGCAAGGGCACGTTGCTGGCTCACGTGCAACTTGGTGTCCACTAGGACCCTCGGGTCCCTTTCTGCCAAGCTGCTTTCCAGCTGGGTGGCCCCCAGCATGTACTGATGCCTGGGGTTGTTCCTCCCCAAGTGCAGGACTTGGCACTTCCCCTTGTTGAACTGTATGAGGTTCCTCTCAGCCCATTTCTCCAGCCTGTCAAGGTCTCTCTGGATGGCAGCACAACCCTCTGGTGTATCAGCCGCTCCTCCCGGTTTTGTATCATCAGAAACTTGCTGAGGGTATACTCTGTCCCATCATCCAGATCATTAATGGAGACATTAAACAGTATTGGCCCCAGTATCGACCCCTGGGGCACACCACTAGTGATTTGCCTCCAACCAGACTTTGTGCCACTGATCACAACCCCCTGGGCTCAGCTTTTCAGCCAATTTTCAATCATCTACCTTACTGTCCACTTCTCTATGAGGATCTTATGGGAGACAGTGTCAAAAGCGTTCCTGAAGTCAAGGTAAACAGCATCCACTGCTCTCCCCTCAGCCACCAAGCTAGTCACCTCATTGTAGATGGCTATCAAGTTGGTCAAGCATGACTTCCCCTTCCATGCTGACTACTCCCGATCACCTTCTTGCCCTTCATGGTCCTGGAAATGGCTTCCAGGCAGATATTCTCCATCACTTTCCTAGTGATCAAGGTGAGGCTGACAAGCCTGCAGTTCCCTGGGTCCTCCTTCTTGCCCTTCTTGAAGACAAAGGTGGCATTTGCTCTCTTCCAGTCTTCAAGAACCTCTCCCAATCACCATGACCTTTCAAAGATAATCAAGAGTGGCCTCACAATGACATCAGCAAGCTCCCTCAGCACTTATGGATGCAACCTGCCAGGCCCCATGGACTTATGTATGTCCAGCTTGTTTAAGTGCTCCCTAACTTGGTCCTCCTCCACCAAGGGTTAAGTCTTTCTTGCTCCAGACTTTGCCTCTGATCTCAGGGACTTGGAAAACGACATCAGATATTATAATAGTGTTAGTTGTGCAGTTCTGACTATTGTTGGTAGCAGCCTTGCATTACTGCAGAAATTCAGTTTTCTGTGTTGTACTCTTATATTCAAGTGAAAAATCACTGCCCTGGTTGATGCCATTTTCAAAAACTTTTGAGCTCAAGGCTACGCTGATCTTTCATTTTGGAGATGGGATACTTATTATAAAGTATCTAAATAGGGACATACAGTTCACATTTTGTTCAGAGTTTGAAAACTGTAGCCAAAACATTTAATGGTATTCTCATGCGATCTTTTTACTAAATCAAATGAAATACTTCAATTTTTACTTCCCTTTGACAAATAGTTTTCCAACAGGAAAATATTATCTCCTTATTAGTAATTTCAGCAATTAATAACTAACTCAAGACGAAATATTCTTTGATAAATTTAACAACTTGGAGCACCTCAAGTTCTCTATAGGAGAAACATATCTCTAATCAACTGTGAAATGTAAAAGACAACATCTGTTAAGGCATACTATTGAATAAAACATGCTGCAGAGCAAAAGCTTGGACTGCACAGCAGTCACAAATGCATTCTGCAGCTAAGGATAAAGATCAAACGCCTTTCCATGGAATCATAGAATAGTTTGGGTTGGAAAGAACCTTTAAGATCATCAAGTCCAACCATTA